GCTAATAGTCCCAAGGGATTCATGTTCTGTGACCTACCTGGCAAAAGTTTCTCGTGGACCCTCTTCTCAGGCATGCCACAGCGTGGTTGGAATGGTGAACACAAATTAGGCTAATTGGGCTCTACAGATTTTTAGTCTCATCTGTCTTCTTTTGGGACTGACTAGTTGATGATGGAAGGAAGCCATCATGTTTGCCTTTAGAAGCCAGCACCAGGAGGGCTTCATTGTTTTGGACTGAGCTAATTACATTGAAGGCGTTCTTTAAAAACATCTGGAACTGTGTGTTACAAGGTTCCACTCAGCTCCCTGGCTTAGAGTCCTGGTCTTGAGCTTCTCGGGTACAGTTTTCATAAATATATACCTTCTGCCTCTCGCAGGAGTGGGAAAAGGGTATCATTAGGCTAACTGCTGGGGTTAGGGAGGGCTGGAAGTCCAGCTTCTCACCCAACTTTCAGCTCATCTTGCTCTCTCCTGGCCTCCACTGTCTTCTATGCCTGGTGTGTCCAGTTCTGAAGCCTTGCTCCATGGACTTAGGCTTGAAGTTATTCCACTCTGCAAAATCACTTCCCCCCCTTTCATCCACTGGCCATGTTCAGAGTTAGAGTCCTCCTGAATCCACGGGGTATGAGCTTGCGTTTTCATCTCATGTTCTCGTTATTTGGGGTTAACCTGTGGCAGAAGACAAAAATATGGCTTTTTCATCATCTTGAAATCAGAGGTTTCTCTCCCTCCCCTCCAGCAGAAGAGATGAGATCTGCCATTGAATAAGAAGTGGAAGAAAGAGATGAGTCTTAAGATGAAAGCCTCTGGGTAGAGTGGCTTTTGTTGTTTCCTTGCTGTGTTCATAAAGCTGCAGCTAGTATTCTATTTGTAAATGGACCACAGCTTTTTAAATCACTCATTTATTGCTTGGGGCAGTGGGCACACACTGCAGTATGCAGATGATTATTTATTGAGTTGTACACTTGAAACCTGTACCCTAAAAAATTCAATAAAAAAGAAAGCAAACATAAATAAGTGATAAAGCTCCTTTTAAAAAAAAGAAAGAAAGAAAAGCAAAGCCCTGGCCACTGTGGCTCAGTTGGTTGAGAGTCATCCTGTGCACCAAACGGTTTCAGGTTCGATTCCCCATCAGGGCACTTACTTAGGATCCCCGGTCAGGGTGAGTACAGGAGGCAACCAATCAATGTTTCTCTCTCTCTCTCTCTCAAATCAATAAACATATCCTTGGGCAAGGATAAAAAAAGAAAGCTATAGCTAGAACACTATTCTAACCCGAAAACAGGCCCTGTGCTAACCACCTTTATTATCTGAAATCAGTGTGATAATTCTGTAAAGCAAATATCATTATTCATGTTTTATCCATGAGGAATCTGAAGCTCAGCAAGTTTCGGAAATAAGCCCAGGGCCACATCCTGAGCTCTTCTAATGGCAGAGCCAGACTGAAGCCAGATTTGCTTGACCCTAAAGCCATTGCTTCACCTACTGCACGTAGCTTGGCACCAAGAACTCTCAAAAGCGCAGTTCTCTCCTTTTTCCAAAAAAATCTGATATATCTGGTGCATGTCTAGGCAGTTCTGGAAAGGAAATCTCAAGTAAATCTTAGGAAAATTTGCTGTTGCCTTGGAGCAAGTGGTGAAATATTTCTTGCCTACTAACTCGCTTGACCTTTCCAAGTCCCTTCGAGTCCTCTAATCCTGCAGGCAGTTATTTTTTACAAATTCTTTTCTAGAATCCGATAACTTACAGCAGACAGTCGGATGCCGGTATCTCTGTTATCTCCATTGCCTTGATTTTGTTTTTCCTTCCAAAAGCTCACACACACATTGGTTGATGGTCTATATTTCGGGCTGCACTGTTTTTATTTATGATTTTTTTTATGTGTGTTACTACTCCGAGGCCCCCAGGGGGAACCTCCACAGACTTTCCTGATTACCAGATGTCGCCCTTTCTATGTAACAACCATCTAATCACCACTTCCTCGTGCCAAGAAATGAGAAAAGCATTTGCGTTTGGAAAACCAAGCTGCGCCACGTGAAGCATATTAAGAAGGATGCCCCCCCTCGCCCCTCCAATCCACAAGAGCTTTCCCCAGCTTAGTTTGTTTTGCTTAAAGATAAAAACCACACAGCCGTGCTTGTAGTTAGGCTAACGAGCGCTTGCACAACCAGGAGGAGATGTCACATGGGCAGTCTCAGCTTCATTAAACACAAATCATGTTCTAAGGGGTCTTTGAACCAGTATAATAGGTAGCTAGTGTTTGTTTTAATGCTTCGGAATATTTCATTGTTTATTTTAAATGGTGATTTATGATGAGTGTTTAACATGCAAAATAATGCTGTATCCCAGGAAGGAATTCTAGGGGAGACAGGAGGGTGCGGAGGCGTCTCAAACCTCCTCTCGAGCAGAGACATGGTATTAGTTATGCAGTTAAAGAGCAGCTGAGGGGAAGGTCACTGTTAGCTGAGCAGGTATTTCAATGAATCGTGTCCATCCTGAAGCTCAGATTTGTGTCTGCCGGAGCCCCATGGCCTTTTGAAAATATATCAAATCATTGCATTCTCATTTAATTTCAGAAAAAGGCAAAGGACAGGTTACTTTGGACTCCACTGTGTGGACAATCCCAAGCCTTTGAAATGCTCAAAAAGGTCAGAACACCCAAGTTTAATGTCTTAGATGTGGGAAGAGAGATTGTTAGGATTGCATCCATTTGCATGAACTTGAAAATGCCATCGAACATCTCCGAGGCGACACCTTGGATGCACCATGTAGAAACAGCCAAATAGAACCATATGTTGAAATGTGATGTTATCCTTGAGACGTGAGTATCAAAAACACATGTTTCTCCCCTCCACCCAACTTTCTCATGAATCACTCGAGCTTTAGACCATGCAGTGCACTGCCTTTCCTCGTATAGTTTTCCGTCGGACAGCCTCGTGTAATACGGTAAGCAATAACCGTAAAATTGTAACGAATGCTCAATTAAGCCAGTTTTCTTCTTGGCTGTTAGGAGCTTGGTCTTTCTTAAACCATGGAAAACTAGGCAGAGTTTAAGTTTCATGAAATGTAAAGGTAGACCCTCTACCTCTGTTAGAAGTAGTAATTATCATAAATTTATACCCCATGGGCTTCTTTTGTCACTTAAAATTATAATTTAGCTGGAGATGGTGGGAAATTATATCTAATGGGAGAACTCTGGACATTATCACACACTTTTCATACCATTACATTTTATTTATATATGAAGAAATATATAAATACGTAAAATATGCTGAAGAAAGATTCAAAATAATCTATATTGATTGGACAAGTACAGGTAGGCAAATGTGTCCTTTGCAGGGCAGGGGGCCCTTAGCTATTTCACTCAAGTCGGTTTCGGGAGCGCCCCAGACGCCGCTGTGTTTTCTGTGGAAGCCCAGCCTTACGCTTTTGAAGGAAGATTACCCACCGCAGCTGGGGCTTCACCTGAGCTGTGTTGCGGGAGGAAGGAGGCGGGGTAGCTGCACCCGATCGGGCCTCAGAAACGTCTCTGGCCAGAGGTGATGTTTACAAGTTGTATACATTTTTCATAAATTTTATGTAAAGCTTATAAGTGATGGATTGAATAAAATTTTTATATGTTTTAAGCGATTTATGAAAAGATTGCTGGAGTTTCTCTTTCCCCTCGCAGGTGGTAATCCACCTAGCAGACCAATCCACAAGAATTGATTTGACCAATAGTATAGCTAGAGTATATTAATTTGCAAAAGTAGAAAATGATGCTGTTAAATTATTTTTTACTACAATGTGTTGGAAAAAAGACATCTGAGTGTATCAAACTATTCTTCAGCGGGAGGCCTTGTCTAACCCAGTTGAAGGTTCTGACCATTTCACAAAGGTAGGCACTTCCCACCTTTGATTATCTCTAATGATAATAATAATAATTACCCTGTGCCCAGCCAGCATGGCTCAGTGGTTGAGCGTCAGCCTATGAACCAGGAGATCATAGTTTGATTCCTGGTCAGGACCCAGGCCTGGGTTGTGGGCTTGATCCCCAGTAGGGGGAGTACAGGAGGCAACTGATCAATGACTCTCTCTCATTATTGATGTTTCTCTCTCTCTCTCCCTCTCCATTCCTCTCTCTGAAATCAATAAAAAGATATTAAAATAATAATAAATAATAATTACCCTGTGTTGGCCCCTTGTTCAAAATTTCACCTCTCCTCCTAAGTCTGCCTGCCTTGATCTACTCTCCAGAACTCTCACGGAGTTGATTGACTCGGTTTTGTCCAGAGTGTATAGTTGTCATCTGCAGAGGCTGGTCTGTTAGGAGCACACATCTCCTACTAGAGCTGGAGTCTTCCCAGTGCAGATTTTCATTTGGAACTTACAGCACTATTTCTCTACCTCAGGCAGAGGTGTAAGACTTGGATGTTTATGTTAGTAATTGCCTGATTGCTGGTTTTCAACCTTAGCTAATTTAGTTCCCTTTCAGTACTTTACATGGTACCGGCATAAAAAAAGCACTCCAGTGGGAGTTAGAATGCTTGGGTTCCAGTCCCAGTCTTATAATTAGCAATCATTATGCTGGAATTACCCAGTGATGATTATACTTAGCTAATTGTTATTATAATTAGAAAGTCATGTGAATCTTTGGTGTATAGGATGAGGGGCCAGGTCTGCCTCAGAGGCTCTTTTCAGACTTATATCCTACAAACCTGTAATTATCTAATACAAGTTTCTTGAAACCTCTGAGTTAATTTACTTCATAGGATTCAAAGGATTAATTTCCTATGTTATATGGTAAGAAGGACATTTTGCTATTAGATGTGGTCATGTGTTATTGATGGTATTTTTCTTTTTAATCTCAAATTTCCTTTAAAATAACTCACCCTGACTTTCTTTATGCCTCAGTTTTTCCTGGGCACAAGTTATTTCATTCAAACTCAATAATTGAAAAGAATTCTATTTTTATCTAAAATATCCCATCTAAAATGCATTTTTGTTTGTTTGTCTCTTAGGAAAAAGTGCTGCAAAGGGTACAAGTTTGTTCTTGGACAATGCATTCCAGAAGGTATGTAATATAAAAGATAATGTCTTCTCACCTCACTCATGACTAATCATCCGATGTCTATAAAGTTCAGATGTACCTGGAATGTATGTGTGTTACTGTTAAACTTGAAGCCCCTTCACAGGACCATCAGCAAGCCCTGTGTGCAGCTCAGCCCTGAAGAGACAGAGGCCCATTCCTCAAGGCCCCCACCCTCCAGCTGAGCAGACAGTGTCTGGACAGTGAAGAAGCAGAGAAACCTGGGTTTTCCTCCTGGTTCCATGTTACCTTAGTCCATTCCGACGGCCGTAACAAAAATACCGCAGACAGGTGGCTTAAATAGCAAACATTTATGTCTCACAGTTTGAAAGTCTGGGAAGTCTGAGATCCAGGTGCTGGGAGAGTCAGTATCTGTGGGAGCTTCATGCTTCATACACAGCCACCTTCATGCTATGTCCTCATGTGGCAGAAAGGGCAAGGGAGCCGTCTGGGGTCATTGATAAGGTCATTAATGCCATTCATGAAGGCTGCACCCTCATGACCCAATGGCCTCCCAAAGCCCCACCTGATACCGTCACATGGGAAGAAGATTTCACCATACGGATTTCAGAAGGACCCACAACATTCCATAGCACACATGTTACTAGCTATGACCTTGGGCAAGTTACTTTCTAAACCTTAGTTTTTGCAGGACAGTATTAGTACTTGACTCATATGGTTGTTTTAAGAATANTTTCATAAATTTTATGTAAAGCTTATAAGTGATGGATTGAATAAAATTTTTATATGTTTTAAGCGATTTATGAAAAGATTGCTGGAGTTTCTCTTTCCCCTCGCAGGTGGTAATCCACCTAGCAGACCAATCCACAAGAATTGATTTGACCAATAGTATAGCTAGAGTATATTAATTTGCAAAAGTAGAAAATGATGCTGTTAAATTATTTTTTACTACAATGTGTTGGAAAAAAGACATCTGAGTGTATCAAACTATTCTTCAGCGGGAGGCCTTGTCTAACCCAGTTGAAGGTTCTGACCATTTCACAAAGGTAGGCACTTCCCACCTTTGATTATCTCTAATGATAATAATAATAATTACCCTGTGCCCAGCCAGCATGGCTCAGTGGTTGAGCGTCAGCCTATGAACCAGGAGATCATAGTTTGATTCCTGGTCAGGACCCAGGCCTGGGTTGTGGGCTTGATCCCCAGTAGGGGGAGTACAGGAGGCAACTGATCAATGACTCTCTCTCATTATTGATGTTTCTCTCTCTCTCTCCCTCTCCATTCCTCTCTCTGAAATCAATAAAAAGATATTAAAATAATAATAAATAATAATTACCCTGTGTTGGCCCCTTGTTCAAAATTTCACCTCTCCTCCTAAGTCTGCCTGCCTTGATCTACTCTCCAGAACTCTCACGGAGTTGATTGACTCGGTTTTGTCCAGAGTGTATAGTTGTCATCTGCAGAGGCTGGTCTGTTAGGAGCACACATCTCCTACTAGAGCTGGAGTCTTCCCAGTGCAGATTTTCATTTGGAACTTACAGCACTATTTCTCTACCTCAGGCAGAGGTGTAAGACTTGGATGTTTATGTTAGTAATTGCCTGATTGCTGGTTTTCAACCTTAGCTAATTTAGTTCCCTTTCAGTACTTTACATGGTACAGGCATAAAAAAAGCACTCCAGTGGGAGTTAGAATGCTTGGGTTCCAGTCCCAGTCTTATAATTAGCAATCATTATGCTGGAATTACCCAGTGATGATTATACTTAGCTAATTGTTATTATAATTAGAAAGTCATGTGAATCTTTGGTGTATAGGATGAGGGGCCAGGTCTGCCTCAGAGGCTCTTTTCAGACTTATATCCTACAAACCTGTAATTATCTAATACAAGTTTCTTGAAACCTCTGAGTTAATTTACTTCATAGGATTCAAAGGATTAATTTCCTATGTTATATGGTAAGAAGGACATTTTGCTATTAGATGTGGTCATGTGTTATTGATGGTATTTTTCCTTTTTATCTCAAATTTCCTTTAAAATAACTCACCCTGACTTTCTTTATGCCTCAGTTTTTCCTGGGCACAAGTTATTTCATTCAAACTCAATAATTGAAAAGAATTCTATTTTTATCTAAAATATCCCATCTAAAATGCATTTTTGTTTGTTTGTCTCTTAGGAAAAAGTGCTGCAAAGGGTACAAGTTTGTTCTTGGACAATGCATTCCAGAAGGTATGTAATATAAAAGATAATGTCTTCTCACCTCACTCATGACTAATCATCCGATGTCTATAAAGTTCAGATGTACCTGGAATGTATGTGTGTTACTGTTAAACTTGAAGCCCCTTCACAGGACCATCAGCAAGCCCTGTGTGCAGCTCAGCCCTGAAGAGACAGAGGCCCATTCCTCAAGGCCCCCACCCTCCAGCTGAGCAGACAGTGTCTGGACAGTGAAGAAGCAGAGAAACCTGGGTTTTCCTCCTGGTTCCATGTTACCTTAGTCCATTCCGACGGCCGTAACAAAAATACCGCAGACAGGTGGCTTAAATAGCAAACATTTATGTCTCACAGTTTGAAAGTCTGGGAAGCCTGAGATCCAGGTGCTGGGAGAGTCAGTATCTATGGGAGCTTCATGCTTCATACACAGCCACCTTCATGCTATGTCCTCATGTGGCAGAAAGGGCAAGGGAGCCGTCTGGGGTCATTGATAAGGTCATTAATGCCATTCATGAAGGCTGCACCCTCATGACCCAATGGCCTCCCAAAGCCCCACCTGATACCGTCACATGGGAAGAAGATTTCACCATACGGATTTCAGAAGGACCCACAACATTCCATAGCACACATGTTACTAGCTATGACCTTGGGCAAGTTACTTTCTAAACCTTAGTTTTTGCAGGACAGTATTAGTACTTGACTCATATGGTTGTTTTAAGAATATCACCACATGTAAAGTACTTGGAACGGAGGCTGGCTCTTCCCAAGTCTTGGTAAATGTAATTACTGTTGCTGTTTTTACTAATAATAACTGAAATATGTGCGATAGAGGCCAGCAGTGCAGCAGGCGTGCAGCAGGGGCATGTAGCACAGAGGACCAGGGTGGTCAGAGGTGGTCGCTAGAAGCAGGGAGACTCGAGCTAGGCTATCAAGGAAGGCTGCCCAGGACCTAGACGAGGAGGAGGAGGGAGGCTGCAAAGGGTTCCAGCGCTGACGCAGGAAAGATGAAGAACCATTTGAAGAGCGTGAGGTTAGCCTGCCAGGGCTGGGGACGGGGGAGTAAGTGAAGTGAAATGGTTTTCTTCACTGTTGCCCAAGAAGCCAGGTGTCTGAGCCCAGCCAAGCTAATTCATGTTGTGTTATCTCATGGAGAGCAATTTTTTTATCTGTTAGAAATAAATGAATCCCTCATGTTCATTGCTGTCTTCGGTGAAAGGATGGTAGAGTTCACTAATTGATAGCCGTGACCTCTGAGAAAGCTGGGTGATGAAGGCTGGTTAGGAAGCCTCGCCACCTATGATGGTTTACGCGGCCTTGGGTCTCTGCAAGACTGACTTTCTCACTGCCAGCCAATTCTATTGGTTAGAGCTTGGTGGGGGAAAAAAACCCACAAAAGTTAAAATAATTGCATTCTTTTATAAGCCAGCTTTTCTCAGTTACCAGCTGTGTCTTTTCTATTTCAATGTGGCAGCTACTGAAAGAAAATTAATTTTAGGCCAATCATTTTAAGATCCCAGTTAAAGACCTTGCCCAAACTAATTAAAAACACATACCTGGATAATACATACTTAGAGTTCCTTTAAATATTAGGTATTGTGCTTTTAAACATCTAGGCCTAAAACTAGTCTCCCTCACCTGGAAGTGGGACCATAGCACCTAGATTAATGTAACCTGGAACTGAGTATTTCCAGGAAAAGTGGCCTCAGGGGCTGAAAGCTGCGCTGTCATAACTAACTCTCTGCCCTGTTGCTTTCTATAGAACAGTTCAAAGGTTAATTTGTTTTAATCTGTGAGAATAAGTCAGTATTTGTTGGTTTGTCTTTTACTAAAGATATCTTTAGTCGTAAAGGTTTCTGTTACCCCAAAATGCAAAGTATAAATGTAGGAGCTCGGAAAAGATGGTGTATTTGTTAGGATTCTTGATAGATTAATTTTTAAGGGGTTGGTTGACAAGAAATCTGCAGAGTATGCCAGCAGAATTGGAGACCCAGGAGAGAGAGAGAGAGTTTGAATCTAGAGACCACATGCTGACAGACTTCCCTCTTTAATAGGGGAGGTCCATCTTTTCTCTATTAGGCCTTTAACTGATTGGATGAGGCCCATCATCATTGTGCAAGGCAATCTGCTTTACTCAAAGTTTACTTATTTAAATGTTAATCTCATCTAAAAAAAATCTCTACTAAAACATCTAAAAGAATGATTAACCAATATTGGCCTAGCCAAGTTGACATATAAAATTAAAACATCATAGATAGTAAAATAGTAAAAAGAGACTAGAATTTATTTATTTAAAAAAAAAAAAAAGCTAAATAGAAGCTGTAATTAAAAGAGTGTTATTGCCTCATATTTGTTGCTCTAAGTCAAGATTCAGCAACCTATGCTTGTGGGCCACATTTAGCCTACTGCCTGTTTTTGTAAATAAAGTTTTATTGGGACGCAGTCGTACCCATTGACTTGAGTGTTGTCTATGTCTGCTTTTGCCCTACAACAGCAGAGTTGAGTAGTTGCAACAAAGGCCTGCAAAGCCAAAAATATTATCTGGCCAACCAGATATATTTTGCCACCCCCACCCCCATGTGTTATCTTAACTGGCCAGGTGACAGGGCGATGTGATTTGTTCTAGTTCAACAATTATTAATTGAGCGTAAACTATAGGAAGAGAATACCGCTGTTACTGCAGAGGACACAGCCCCGGCCAGATACCCAAACAAGCGCAAGAACCAGGAATTTAAAAAGCAGAAGAGCAAGCCCTAGCCAGTTTGGCTCAGTGGTGAGAGCATCGGCCCTTGGACTGAAGAGCACTGGGTTCGATTTCGGCCAAGGGCGTGTACCTTGATTGCAGGCTCGATCCCCAGCCCCAGTCAGGGCGTGTATGGGAGGCAACCAGTTGATGTGCCTCCCTTATATCAATGTTTCTCTCTCCCCCTTCCACTCTCTCTGAAAAGCAATGAGAAAATATCCTCAGATGAAGATTAAAAAAAAAAAAAATTTTTTTTAAGCAGAAGAGCAGATAAGACTTTCACTGTGTGTCAGGTACTGTGCTTGTTGCATCCTCCTGTATTATCTCATAAAAGCACCATGAAGTCGGTATTGTTCTTACCCTATTTTCTAGGTAAGGAAACTGAGGCTTAAAGAACCCAAGAGCACAGAGAGAGTGGCAGAGTTGGGAGGGTTGGCTCCTGAACCTGCACCTTAATGTGGCATCATCCTAGAACAGGGCCTGGCACGGAGGAGGCACTCGATACCATGTGGGAGCCCTGAGCATGAGACATGCAGAGCCCAGAACGCTGATGCCTAGAGTTGATGCTTAGTTGAGGAAAGCATGTTTGACCAGGGACACACACAGGCAGAGCCTGGAATCTCCATGGCAGGGAGAAGTACTTATCCAGGGTGGCTTTCCAGGTCATCATGAGGATGGCATGAACCTTGTCACACTGACCCTACCCGCAGCTGCCCCCTTCCCTTCCCTGACCCCAACCCTGGCCCTAACCCTAACAACCATCACCATAATAGGCGGCAGAGAGAAGCCAGGCTCATGCCTCGTCCAAAGACAGCTCATCTGTCAGCACCTGGGGAGACAGTGCAGTGATTGATGAGAGGCTGGATCTAGTCTAGTCTGCAAGTAAATGTTCAGCCTAAGCACCTGACTTAGAGCCAAGTCCCTTCAGAGACATGTTAACTCTCAGTTCGTAAGGGTAAGAGGAAGAGAGGCTCTAAGTCTTTACGAATAATAGACCACCCATTCCAGTTTGCACGGGCTTAGGGCTGGTATGAGATCTCTAGCCATTCAACCTTACGCAGCCCCTTCTCAGCATGCAGAATCAACCCTACACCTACAACACACACACACACACACACACACTAGCTCACACACATCTCCATTCCAAAGCCTCCCTCACACTCAGAGCTGGCCTGACTTCCAGCTCTGTTCCCACATTGTGAGGACAAGGCCCATCACCAGGGCTGGCCGGCCTTGAGTGTTCAGCCGGAAGGAACTCCCTGTCTGCAAAGCAGGCCCAGGCGATGCTACAGAGCAGAGCCTGGTCAACTAGAGCACCTTTGCTCTTGGGATGAGTGACAGAGACCAAAGGATGAGGTGACCCGGGAGGGAAATCACCAGTGATGTTTGCTTCTAACCACTGCGAAGCTGGGCACCTCGTTTCTCAGAGGCACCCCACGGCCTGAGAAAGTAATGCCCCTCCAGGCATAGCCGGTTACACCGCTGCCCTGGAGCAGAGCGCAGCCCAGAAAGCCTGGTCTAGACCAGAGCCAGGTGACCCCCCTCTGCCTCGGCAGTGACGGTGGCTGATGTGAGCTCACACTTTCCTCTTTCAGATTATGACGTGTGCGCCGAGGCCCCCTGCGAACAGCAGTGCACGGATAACTTCGGCCGCGTGCTGTGTACTTGTTACCCGGGATACCGCTACGACCGCGACAGACACCGGAGGCGGGAGAAGCCCTACTGCCTGGGTGTGTGGCCGGGCACGGGTTGTCAGCCCGACACCGCGCCTCCCCCGGGCGGGTCTGTGCTGGGTTGGACGCTCTGCATCAGTAGGACCAGCTCCGGGAGCCGCTTCAATCTTTGACCCCTGCCCTTCCGTCCTGACACTTGTCGGATGCCATGTGTTGGCGTAATCCTAGGGGATTGCTGCCCTTCACCCCAATGACTGAGACCAGCGATGGCCAAGGAATTCTTCAGGGAGTTGGTACCAGTCAGGTCCTCATGAGCAATGAGCTATAAGAGCAGAAGGGGAACATTAGCAAATGTAAACTAGAAGGATATAAAACAGAAAGTTAAGTGGGAAGAAATGTAAAAAGGGAAAAGAGAGAAAGCGTTCTCAGAAGAGGAGGGGGAGAAGAGGCTGGGGAAGGCGTGTCCCTGTGGCAGGCAGGGTGGAAGTGACTCAGGGAGCTGAAGCCAGCCACCTGGGCTGCAGCTGAGCAAAGCCAGTGCTGTCCATCGCCACGGGCATGTTCCCTCTCCCAGCCTTGCTTTCCTGAGGCAGGTTTATTGTCCCCTAGAGCCACGTGTTTCAAAGTGTGTCAGTCATGGCTAACCTGTTTCAGAAATATCTGAGGTTCTCTTATTGAAAAAAAGAGAGCAAGCAAGCCCTGGCCAGTGTGGTTCAGTGGTTAGAACGTCAGCCCACCCACAGAAGGGTCCATTCCTGTTCAAAGGCATGTATCTGGGTTGCAGGTTCAATCCCTGGCCCTGGTCAGGGTGCATATGGGAGGCAGCCAATCTATGTGTGTCTCTCACATAAATGTTTCTCTCTCCCCCCCTCTCTCCCCCCTCTCTTCCCTCCCTCCCACTCTCTCTAAAAATCAATGGGGGGAAAATGCTCCCGTGAAGATTAACAACCCCAAAAAAGACATCTGGCCTCCCCTCCAGACTCTGAGGGTGGGTCTGGAAATCTGCATTTATGCAAATGCCTCTAGTGACTCAAGTCAAGTTTGAGCATCAGCTTGTGGATGAACCCAGGAGACTGGTACATGGACCCGAGTGGGAAATAGAGGAGCTGCGATGAGCAGGGGCTCTAGAGAGAACCATTCCAAAGAAGTTCTAGATATTAGGTGTCCTGGCTCCTCCCCAGGGGCATCAGGGAAGGGGTCCATGCTGACAAGGAATGGGATTGAGGCCACCAAGTGAATGGAGTGGGGACCCATGGCCTCTCCTACAGAGAGCATGGGAGGCCACTCGGTATCCCTGAGGTCCCAGGCACAAGGGCTTGCATTTGTGGTGTGGTACCCTGTTCTTTCCACTTGGGGATCAGCAAAACCAGCTTTCTGCTACGAGTTCCAGCCATTTCTGTATGTCCTTTCAACCTTGTCCTCCCTCCTCTGGCCATAGAGGCAGCGTCACGCTTGGGTGTGGGACAGGGGCATGTGGAGAGCAGTGGTCAGCCTGAGGAGTTGCAGGGGAGGATCCAGCTGTGTGGCATCGTGGTGTACAGCTGTACGGCCAGGGGAACCTCCAAATGACCACACTCCCCTTGGCGCACACACGGCCTGCCAGAGGCAGGTCCTGGGCAGCCTGTCGGGGGAGTAATTGTGAGAATCCAGAAGCTAGGCTGGGCCCTCTCAGCCGCCACGTGTGCGCAGTCTGGGGCTGTGTGTCCTGGTTCCCACTCATTGCCACCCGGGTCTTCAGCCAGCGAGCAGGGAACAGACTTGGGCTCCCTCTCTTCCTGCTGGTGGTAAACAGTTTTGTTTCTACCCTACTCAGTAGGGGAGCAAGTCTGTGATGGGCCCAGTTCACATCGACTCTTATTGGTTCTTGTTTGATGGTCTCCCAGCTCATTTCCACAGCTCATGAGGAGTCCGCTTGGGTCATTGATGAGGCCAGAATTTCCTGGGGTAAACTCTCTCCATTAGACCCATTATGACTATTTTATCAGAAGTGACTGTTCCCAGGTACCATCACATCTTTTAACTGGGAAGGAGCCCTTCCTAAGTGACCTTGGGTCACCACATGCTATTTGGAATGATTAGCCAAACATAAAGGGAACATAAAACCCCCGGCACACTGGGCCCTTGCAGAAAATCCTTTCTGCAGTGCTCGCTTTTCAAAGCATTTCACCATCGGGTAAACTCATTTTCTCTTCTAAGGAGCCCTACAAAGTGTTTAGGGAAGGCTCCTGTCATGTGTGACAGGTGAGAACGGTGGAGGCCAGCAATGCCTGCACCAGCCACCTGACTTGGTAGTGGCAGAGCCGCAACCAAGAACCCCATCAGTGATCTGTGGTAACCATGGTGACACTGCCTGGAGTGCTCCTGTCACTCAGGGTTCTAGCTTCCTGCTTTAGTCCAGGCTCCTCTGATAGAGGTCTGGAAAAGTGTGCTTTGCAGACATAAACAGAAGGGCCGGGTCTCATGTCACTTGTGTTGGAAGTGAATTCTTGGGAACTGAGTGTCATCTGCGTTTGGTTCAAACCCAGATATCGACGAGTGTGCCACCAGCAACGAGACCCTGTGTGCACACATCTGTATCAACACCTTGGGCAGCTACCGCTGTGAATGCCGGGAGGGCTACATCCAGGAGGACGATGGGAGGACATGCACCAAGGGAGACAAATACCCCAACGATACTGGTGAGCAAAGCAAGTAAAACTCCCCCCCTAATTGGGCGGGCAGGTGGGTGGGCGGATGGATGGACGGTTAGATAGGCACTAGGAAGGGGCATTTATATGAATGGTGGGTGGGCCCTGGGTAAGAGGAGGGTAGGACATAAGGCCAAGCTCTTCTAGAGACCTGGTGAGAGCGATGCCCGTGAGTAGCAGGGCTGTGAGCTGGTGTGTGAGGAAACTGTCCACCAAGCAGAGGGGCTGTGCTCATGGGTAAATCAGGATGTAATCTATGCTTAGACCAAACCAGGATGAGCCAAGACGAGGCCAGAAACACTGTGTTCTCTCAAAGAGAATGGGCTGAATATAAATATGAAACATTTCCATGTAAGGAAACGGTCTGCATCAGTGCTGCTCAGAATATGTAGTCCAGGCCCCGCGCCTGCTGATGATCTATTTGTGATTTGGTTCAGGACTGAACGGAAACAGAAGTTGAGAATGTTTAGAAATTTTTATGCCAATTTGACAAAGAAATTTTGTTTAAATTCAAAGGTTTCTACTGGTATTGTGTGCCTTGTTTTTCTGGTAAATGGTTTTGATTGTATTTTGCAAATACAGTCACAATGAACTGGAAAATGTTTAAAAGCTGACCTGCCTTGGCAGTGTTTGAGGAGCTGATTGAACTGAGATGTCTGATCCGTTCAAATATTGGGTTACTTCTTTATTTAAGTTTGGAGGGGAAGGGAAAGGAGGGAGGGGAGAGCGGAAGGAAGCAAGGAAGGGAGGGAAAGGAAGGAAGGGGGAAGGGAAAGGAAAGGGAAGGAAAAGGGAAAGGGAAGAAAAGGAAGGAAGGAGCCCTTGTGCTCCTGTATCCAGTACTTACAAGGCCAGGAAGCTGTCATCTTCCAGAGCTCAGGGCTCAGATCTTCTGTCGCCCTTGGGAAGGGAAGTGGCAGGGTCGCTGTCAGTAGGAAGGCTACCGGGACCATCTGTGGGTGGGGAGGGGGCGAATCCCAGGTACCAAGAAATGCCAGGAGATGAAAGGCCAGAACTGTCTGGCACTCAGGAGGAAGTTAGTGATTTGGGAGGTGTAGTCTGAGGTTGAAAAGGGGCGGAAGGCAGTTGCCATCAGCCCAGAACAGCAAACAGCTGGGAAGCAGCTGCCTCCTACAGGAAAAGCTACAAAGCAAAATTATGAGGAACAACAAGGTTGAGTCATGAGGAAGTCACCATATATTAGAAGTAGAGGCAAAATATCTATTTGGAGCCAGCTCAGAAGTGGGCAGTTTGGGATAATGTGAATGAATCAGAGGGCCCTGTGAAAACGATTTAAAGCCTGAAGCACATGGGGCCCATGTGCCCGGAGGTGCTAAAGGCAGGGGTCGATTGAGAAAAAATGTGTGCAGGTGGCTTTTTGGCTTTTTTTTTTTTTTTTTTAATGTTTTTATTGATTTTTTTTTGGATTTTTTTTTTAAGGGAGAGAGGAAGGGNTTTTTTTTTTTTTTTTTTTTTTTTTAATGTTTTTATTGATTTTTTTTTGGATTTTTTTTTTAAGGGAGAGAGGAAGGGAGAGGGATAGAGAGATAGAAAGAGATAGAGAGCTAGATTGATGAGAGAAACATCATCAATCGGTTGCCTCCTGCATGATCCCTACTGGGGGATCGAGCCTAAAACCCAGGCATGTGCCCTGACCAGGAATCAAACCATGACCTTTTGGTTCCTGGGTTCATGTTCAACCACTGACCCACACCAGCCAGGCAGGCGGCTTTTTTTTTTTTCCCCAATTCAAAATTAAAATTACTTCATTTTTGTTTCAAGGTGGAGGAGGGGCAGGATGTACAACTCACCTCTCAGATTATGTCCTATACCGAAAGGGGGAGTCTCATTGCAAAATCAGCCTTTTAGCCACTGATAGACACATTGATGTGTGGGCCGACTGAAGGATTAGCACCAAGAGAGCAGCCTTCTCATTTTTCATTCTGGAATTAGATTCCCAGCTGTGCTCTAAGCCCGGAAGCCTAAGGCTGAGGGCTGCTCAGCCTGACAGCTCCATTGTCTCTTTGCCTCACATTTCTATTCAGGCGAAATCCCATTCACATGGGCAGAAGGGGAGTATTGAGCAACCTGACCTAGAGTACAACCATCAGAAACTGCGACAGATGCTTACCGCTGAGTGTCAGGGTAGCTTTGATAGCAGGGATCTCCAAATAATAATACCTAGTCCCACCCATGAGCAGTTCCCACCTGGTGGGACAAAGTGATCTGCCCAGAGACCCGGTCCTAACTAGCAGAGACTGGAGGAGCAGAGGTCGTTTGCAGGGACGAGTGTAAGATTTTATATGCTGAGTTTACTGCTTCTTTGGTCTCGGGTGGCCTCCACCTCTTGCAATAACTCTTAGGTTCTGCAACCACATCCCTCTTCTGTCCCATGCATTGCGCTACTGTGTGGTTCCCTAGGGATGGCTCTGAGCAGTGTGACAGGGCAGCCTTGGTGGCACTCATCGCCTGCCTGGTGTTTTGGCTGTGTGGACCCAGAGAGGGGCCCAGCCACAGGGCAGGAACACAGGAAGGTCTCAGTGCATCTTTGAAATTAGCAGCCTGCGGTGCTGNGGCAGGAACACAGGAAGGTCTCAGTGCATCTTTGAAATTAGCAGCCTGCGATGCTCAGTCAGTCCTGAGACCACACTCCTGTTTTCTTCCCTGAGAAGAAGGGAATTATACTTCGTAAAAATTTCTCAAACACACGAAAAGTTTCAGTGCAAGAGATCAAGAATTTAATAAGAGATGACCAGTTTGACTTCTGTAGCTGAGAATTCAGTCAAAAACCTAAACAGTCATAAGGGATATATATTTGCAACTTTTTGGTAACTCCTCTAGTATTACTTTTATTTAAAGGCATATGTTATCGCAACCATTTACTACAGCATTTCCCCGTATTGCATTCTACAGAACTTTGGGGTCCTGTGGGTGTTGCTAAGCCTTTCTTCCTTCAGAAGCTTCTGTGTTCAGATGTTTGGGGAAGGATGCATTACTGCACCCACTCCTTAAGGATTCAGGATGGGAGTGCATTAAAAGCTCTGAGAGCCCCAGCCGGTGTGTCTCGGTTGGTTGGGTGTCATTCCTGCACTGAAAGGTTGTGGGTTTAATTCCCAGTCAGGGCACATGCCCAGGTTGCAGGCTCAATTCCCAGTAGGGGGCGTGCAGGAGGCAGCCAGTTGATGTTTCGCTCTCACATTGATGTTTCTCCCCCCTCCCTTCCTCTCTCTCTAAAAAAAAAAAAAATCCAAGAAAAACTCTGAGATTGTTATTTTCTTTTAAAAATGTTAATTTTGATTAAACTTGAATTTCCCAAAATTATTTTCTTAAGAAACACCTGTAAACATCTCTCAGATGATGGTGTCCTGAAAATTAGAATTTGGAAAATTCTAACTTATTAGCATCAAAACTCTGAGTTCTGGGCCTGAACTTAGTAGAGTCATCTGGTTGGCTTTCAGGGAAGGGTGTTTTCAAACACAGCCAGTAAGTCCAGAAGGAAGCCATTTGCTGCAAACAGCAGAGCATCTGATGAACAAAACAGGATGACACTCCTCCATTCTGCCATTCCGAGAGACAGGATGTTCCTGTTTGCAGGAACTGAAANATGACACTCCTCCATTCTGCCATTCCGAGAGACAGGATGTTCCTGTTTGAAGGAGCTGTCCTGTTTAATCAGAAAGAACCGTCTGGTGGCTCTACCGCTGCACTTTATAGTAACGAACCCACTCGCTGCCAATTCTCTCCCTCCTCTTCTAAATATAACAGCCTCAAATAACTTCTTAAAAACCTGAAACAACACCACTGTGGTATCACACTCCCCCACCACCAGCAGCAGCATTATAAAAGAATCAGTATTTCATGTCCAGTAACTGGTCTCTATTGAATTCACCACATATGCACAGAGGACTTAGCATTCAGTTTTAGTATTTTACTAAGAAAAACATTCCAACACCCGTAACCAAGGAAATCAGGGAGTCACAGACCGAGAGGAGTAATTCACACACAAAATTATGAGAAAGGACAGGCACATTGCTTGCCCTGAATGTTAAAGTCATAACTCAAGTGATGGGCCACTCAGAAGGCCAGGGGCTGGCTTTCATGGTTTTGGCAGCAAAAGGCAAGTGCCCTAGATGCATTTCTTTGACAGTGGTGACGCCCTGGAAAGTTCCTTGGCTTAGAAGCTAGGAGAGCCTGGCCGGGCGTGGCTCAGCGGTTGAGCGTTGGCCTAGGATCCAGGCGATCGGTGTTCAATTCCCGGTCAGGGCACATGCCCAGGTTGCAGGCTTGATCCCCAGTCAGGGGTGTGCAGGAGGCAGCCGATCAATGACTCTGTCATCATTTATGTTTCTATCTCTCTCTCTCCCTCTTCCTTCCTCTCTCTAAAATCAACAGAGATATTAAAAAAAAAAAAGAGAGAGAAAGAAAAAGGAGAGCCGGTAGCTAGAGCTGCTTTAGTATTAACCAGCTGTCATTGGGAGGGTCTCCGGGCCTTAGTTTCCTCATCTGTAGACAAGAGGATTGAACAAGGGGAGCTCTGAAGATCCTTCTGCCCTTGCAAATATTTTTTGCAATTTGCTGTAGCCTCAGTAAAAGTAATAAAAGCCCTGCCAGCCCTGAGTCCCTGTGCGGTGGCTTCTTTCTCCTTCACCTAAGCAAGTGCCAAGGCTCCGAGACACACCCAGCCTCACCACCGAAACCGAGAACTTCCTGTGGGTGAATAATCACTGTCCAGCTACTCAGCTCAGCACTAAGAAAAGTTAGGGGCCAGACGAGCTTTGTATCTGGAACATCAGAGGCAGTAAGTGGTTTCATCTGTTTTAAACTAATTAATAAGCTGAATATTTCATCATGGTCCATTTTTTTTGCATGAGGAGGTAATGGTGATTAAGTGTAAGCACATGATCTGAAACCTTTTCTTCCTCCGGTTTTCTTGGTGTGTGTTTTTTTTTTAACTTTGCATTGTCCAATGTCTGTAACATTACAGTCAGAGGAATTTAAAATTGAGCGCGACCTCAGCTTTCTATCCAGAGAGTGGGCGGAGGGCAGAGGGCGCCGGTCTAGGAACTGTCTCTGATCATTGCGAGATCATGTGCACGCACAGGCCTGGTGGCTCGGCTGGCTGATAGGCAAGAGTGGCTCGTTCAGTCCCTTTGATTCTTTGAAAATATATAGCTGGAGCCAGTTTAGTCACTCCAGGGAGTCTGTGTAGCCCCGATGAGGAGACGAATTAAGGACATGTTGGCTCCATAGTAATTAGCTTACCAGGTCTCTATTTATCAACTTTTGTTGACTTTCTGATAAAGTGACCATGACCCCCAGTGTCGCTTAGTATAGTTCAAAGTGCAGGGACGGCCAGGTGTTTCATATAACTTTCAAGCTCCACTAATCTGTAGATCAGTTGTTCTCAACCTGGGGGGCTTTTAAAAAATGCAGATACTGTCCCCCTGCAGTGACTCTCAGATGGGTGGGGGGCAACATAGTTGGCGGGATTTTTAAAAGCCCCCCCAAGTGGATGCAATGTGCCACCAGGGTTGAGAACTGCTGCTGGGGCACAAATGTGCACCATCAACTTTTCAAAACAAACATGCCGTGTTCATTTGTGACACTGCTCGTGTGAAATATGTTGGGAACATTCTTTAGTTTTTCTAAGTTTATTAAACATTACTAATATGGCATGCAAGGAATTCTATTTCTAATGCTAAGAATGTGTGTATATCCTGCTCAACAGCAGTAAAAATTAGAGCTATCTGCCCCCGTGTGGCTAGTTGATAATATTGCACCTTTAAAACCAGACATGACATGGTCATGGTCACTGTCAGAGATACTCAATGGCTACATTGAGAGGATTGAAAACAAAGTCAAGGATGTCACCCAGATTTCTAAATGAGTTAATAGTGCAGCATTCACAGAGTTATATTAGTTCCACATTTGACAGTATTGTAGACAAATTGCAGGATAGATGAGCCCTACTTCAGAACAGATTGCATGCTCCAGCCTACACATACAGTTATTTATCTTCAAACCCTCTGAGAGCTCTTTCCAAAGGAAAGACTTCTGTAATTTTGTAGGCAACTTAATTTTTTACAATATACCACCAAAACCCATAATATTAACATTTATGGAGCATTTGTCATATACCAGGCACTGTTCTGGAAGTTTACAGGGGTCATTGATGCCTGACAGCAATCCCAGGTGATAAGTGCCATTGTCATTTTTACATTTCAAAGAACAGATGCTCACAGAAGCTGTGACTTCCAGTGGAAAAGGTACGAAGTGGCAGCATCAGGATTCAGTCCTGATCATGGGCTCCACCAGAGCCTACACTCCTTGCTACTGTGCTGCTCTTTCTGGGGAAGCTTCAGAAGTCTGGGACAACGTTCATCCTGATCTCTGGTCTGATCATTTCACAAAGGGACAGAAAACAGGCTGGGCATCTTCAGGTCAAGGTTGCTTGGCAGAGCTGTACCCTGGGGCTGTGAATGTGCTTCCCACTCACTTGGACGGCTTTGCTAGAACCCTGCACTAGGCCCACTCCCAGGATTTCATGCAGTTGTGGTGCTGGTGCTGGTGCTGGTCTGGTGATCACACATGGGAACCACTGCCTGGAGCTGGCCAGGCAGACAGCTCTCAGGTTCTGAGCAGTACTCCCAGTAGCAGGCTCACTGCGCCCCACAGTGCCTAGCCTCTGCACACAGCGCTCCAAGAGACCTAAAGCAAGTTCCTTTCCTTATCTGTAAAGAGGATTGAACTAACGGTACATTAGTTCTAACACCCGTGATATAAATGAAATGGTCTAGAACCTGGTAAAGAGGTTTATTCTTATGAAAATATCAGATTGCCTTAATTATACCAACACTTGCAAAGTTCAACTGAGTATATAAAAGTAGAAATGAAAAGATGGGCTTTTAACCCTTGTTGTGATATCCTGGGGGTTAGGGTTTCAACATACGAATTTTGGCGATGGGGACAATTCAATATCTAATACCCTATTTTACAGACATTTTTGAATATCCAAGAAGTGACCCTCAGGTTCTTAGGTGGCTCACACTCTGGCACCAGTAACCCCTCTGCAGGGAAGCCTGGAACATCTGCCATTTGAGTGGGACACGTGGTAAACTAAAGGCCACCTGATGTCAGAGGCTTACAGTATCTGTAGACAGAGAGCACTTGAGCTTCATTGAACACTTGAGCTGGGTCTTGCTAGTTGGCAGAATTCTACCGGTGGAGGCAGCGAAGGTTTTCCCGGAAAGAGAATAGTAGGAAGAAAAGCCTGTGGGCCAAGAGGCATGGGAAACGACTTGGGGGAGACGTTACTCTACTGTCCCCAAGCTACATTCCAGATAGCAGTGTCATCTGTCACACAAGCAGCACACCTGGCCCAACACCAAAGGCTTCCTAGGCTGGGAGGGTTTCCACTTACCTGGTGTCACAATGTCCCAGCCACCCCAACAAGATGCTCACATACCCTGTCTCCCCACTCTTAGCCCACACCACTGCTGTCGCCTTCACCTACTCATCAGTGGCAAGGTGACCTCCGGTGGCTAGTCCCCAGGACACAGGTGCCTGTAGCCATTTCAGTGCCAGTAGGATGAGAGCTGTGTGAATTCTTGGCCATGCCACCATTTGACTCCCCCACTCTTTCTTTAGGAAAATATGATTTTACAGAAAGCCCTTGGAGCTCCCAGTGGTGTACGGGATGGCATTGGAACCCTTCCCGGTGGGCAGCCAGAGTGCCTTCCGGGGACCTGTTTCACTCGCCCCCAGGTGGGCAAGTCCAGTCTTTGGCACGTTTTCCACCAGCTTCACATCTCCAAGGAGGTCAGAGCCTGGCCCTGATGCGTGACCCCGCTTGGCCTGGCCATGATGCCTTTGATCGACTGGATGATCATAGGTGATAACCAGCTTTGTGAGCGCACTGCCTGAGCTTGGGGATAGTTTACAGTGTGTGAGCATTGGCCTTGGATGGGGCTATAAATCATGTCACGTTGCTACAGCCTGCCTCCCGGAAAGTCCTGATAGAAGGGCCAGGGGTCACATTTTCCCACATGAGAATGAGGCTGGGATGCCTGCAAGGGCACAGCTGAGCCCCAAACAGAGAGAGGTCCCTGTCTCTGTCCCTCTCCCTCTCCCTTTCCCTCTCCCTCTCCCTCTCCCTCTCTTCCTCCCGGACCCGGGGAGTGCCATCAGTGCCACAAAGCCCTGGCACACTGACTGCCGCCGGCCGCCTGGCCAGGCGCCTCACAGCCGTGTCCCCTCAGGGCAGGACGGGAAGGCCGAGACCGCCGTGAGAGCCGGGACGTGCTGCGCTTCGTGCAAGGAGTTCCACCAGATGAAGCAGACGGTGCTGCAGCTGAAGCAAAAGGTACGTGCCCGGCGCCTTGGAAACGACCACGGAACAGGAGGAAGGTTTAGAAACAAAATCCCAGACCTCGCTGAGCGTTTACCGAGGTTGGTGCCCGCTAAGCTCAGGCTGGAATGCTTTGCCCGCCACCCTCAGAGCTGCCGTCTAGGGGGCAACAGACCGCTGAAGGCAGGGTGGGGTAGGTGGCTATTAAAATACACCCCTAGATTGGGGAGATTGGGGGCGCGGCGGAGCTGTGAGGATGAGTATGACTGTTGTGACTTTCTGTAAAACGACCATCCAGATGCATGGCCCTGGGGCTCACGTAGGCGATTCCATTTTTTATCTGATGTTTTGTCTATTTTGTTGATAGAGAACATCCTCTCTATAAACTTCCATAAGCTGGTGATGGATTTCTGTAGCGGCTTTATTTTTCATATTTAAAAATTATAGGCCTGGCCAGGTGGCTCAGTTGGTTGGAGCACCATCCCATACATGAAAAGGTTGTGGGTCCGATTCCCAGCTGGGGCACATACCCAGGTTGTGGGTTCAATCCCCAGCTGGGGCTTGTATGAGAGGCAGCCGATCGATGTTTCTGTCTCACTTCGATCTTTCTTTCTCTCCCCCTTCCCTCCCTCTCTCTCAAATCAATAAACATATCCCCAGGTAAGGATAAAAATAAATTATAGCCTGTGCTTTGTTGGGCTCCATTCACCTCAGAAAACAGCATTTGGGTACCCATGTCACCAGATCGAGGGCTGACTCTCTACAAGTCCCTCACGCGTGCTGGCGGAATATCAGGTTTCTGGTGACGGTGGTATGCTGTGGGTAATGCCCCGTGATGGATCTGGAGACCTGATTTCTTCAACAACTGTCCTCCCCCAGATCAATGGTACTTTTTGTACCTATGGTCAGTCAGTTCACCCATTTGTCAGCACTCAGAAATTGTTCCTATGCTGAGAAAACATGAACATACTGGTTTGTTTATTTAATCGCTTCCATTCGGCTCTTAGTACATCAATGGGGTGTGTATAATCTGTTTGACTTTGGCATCTGGTTATCCGAAAGGGCAAAGGAGTAAGCATAAGACAAACATGCAGGCTTTTCATACAGTTTTGGTGAAAATCTACTGACTTAGCAGAGGCACATATAATACATAATCATGATTCTAAATAGTTTGTGATCCAATAGGGAGGCCAAGCAGAAAGCCTCGTAAGTGTATCATACAAACACAGAGACAGACATGCATCCCACACGGACACCCTCAGGTTGAGCATGGATTGATGTCAGTATTTATTGAATGAATTAAAAACAAAGTTTCATAGAAGAAGTAGGTTTGCGTTTCATAGTTCAGACGATTAGGGCTTGGGGGAGGAAGTTGATCAGTGTCTCAAGACCTAAAACCAGGGGCTTCCTCTCCTGAGTAGTTAATAGTCCAAGAGCTACAGGGAAGCTGTTTCCAGCCTGGAGGAGCTTTAGGATCAGTGCTGCTAAGTCTCATAAGTTGTTCAGAAATTCCATTGCTAAGTTAACACCTGGTTTTCTCTTAAACTCCTTGCAATGCTTCACATTCCATGAGAGAAGAAACATTAAAAGAAGTCGAAAATTGTATCGTAATACCTGTCATCCCAAAAGACCCTGTGTAGAGCTCCATACAAATCCAATTACAGGCACTTCTTAGGACTGAAGTAACCCTGGTGCAGGTGGGTTGGGCTGGAGGTGGCCCACCTTATACCGAATTCTACAAATGCATGTGGCAAGTCTGAGCTCATGCTGACGTTTGAGGAGCATTTTGAGGAGCAACTCATTTCTAAAGGTGCCTATTAGAATGGTTGTGTTCTGCAGTTTATAAAGTCATTTTATAGCCAGGATCTCATTGAATTCTCACCATAACCCTGCTAGAGAGATGCTGATGTTCTCAGAGAGGTATAGTCACTGCCCCTGAGGACCTACACCCTGCTCCCCACTCTTGCTCCTGTGCTAGTGCTGGGATTGTCAGCTTTTAACTTCATCTCTCTACTGCTGATGCCACCTGTTTTGTTCAAAAAAAGAACATAGGACGTCTGCCCAAATTAATACTGGCCAAGAAGTGGGTACTGGTGTCCTGGACGGTGGCCAACCCCACAGTATAAATTGATATGCTAATGTGTTGAGCTGCACCACGAGGGTAGAGTCAGCCAGACCCCAGCTGCAGGAAACTCTATGGAGTAAATGGCCTGGACTCTTCAACGGGTAAATTGTAAGGAAAAGAAAGAAGTAGACCTACCTGCAGATTAACAGGAACTTAAAAGGCATATTTTTTAAATGGCCAAGGCTAAACCATAGTGTCCAGGCATGCACAATTGGGTGACAAATTCATTTTTTAAAACATGGGAAGTGATAAAAATCAGGATAGTGGCTGCTTTGGGGAGAAGGAGACCAATCGGGTCAAGACACATGCAGAGGCCTCTGGCAACTGGCAAAGTTGTCTTTACTTAGGTGTTCATTAAAAGGGTGCTTGCCTTAGAATAATCTGCTAGATAAAGATTTGTTTTATGGGATTTCCGGATTTTATGCTTTTATTTTCCAATAAAAAGCTTTTTAAAATGGTACCAGGCCCCAGTGCCTCTACCTCCACCTAGAAAGATCCCTGTAAATGTTTACAAATAAATAACATTAATTATATGCCCTTATAAAGCACTTCACAGGCAGCATCTCACTGATCCATACCAACAGGTCTGTGAGGCAGATGCTTTATTACCAAGGCTTATATGAGATGATGATATTCATAATTCCATTGAATGGAACCCAAGGAAAAGGTAGACTCTTCTGCATTCATTCCTATGACCTTCCCAAACACTTGCATTCCACAAGCTCTTTCTCTTGTGCTTGGACAGCAAGTCAGGCCAGGGATTCTGGCCAACTGCCTCCAAATGCCACGCCTTTGCTTTCCAGTCCAGCTGACGCAGAGAGGAGCTGAAGGAGCCGGAGCCAAATTACCCAGCAGGTGTCAGCTGGGACACAAGCCCACATTCACTGGGTCGCTCGATGGCCTTTACAGGGAAGCATGCAGAGCAGAGAGAGCTGGAAAGGGCACCGGGAGCATCTCTAAAGTCCTTCCACAGGCAGATTTAGTCCTCCAGACTTACTTAAAAATGTTAAATCCAAAGGCAGGATTTAAGTCGGGTCCAAACCTCTCATTTTGTAGACATGAACCTGAGAACCTGGGAGGGTAAAGGGACTTACCCAGAGCCACACAGCTACTTAGAAATAGCCAAGAGCAGTCCCCTGGGCAGAGCATTCCCACTGCATCCATAGTACTGACTGCTGATGGTTACAAGGCTGAGCACTGGGCCAGGCGCAGTATAGAAAACATCACTTTCACCTTCCCGGCAGCCTTTTTAGGTGGATATTACCACCCTCATTTTATAAGGGAGGAAATCCAGGTTATGTAGCTTACCCAAGATCCCACAGATCGAAAGTGGCCAAGCTGAGATGTAACCAGAAGTCTGCCTAATGCCAGAGCCCACGATGGGGCCCACTGTGCAGTTTTTCTGTTGGACCAGCCTTCAGCTGCCAGTGTCGACCCTCTGTTCTGCTTGTAAATTTCTGTCCTTCACTGGCGCACTCCCGGTTCACCCAGGACCTCAGGCTCACATCTGCAGGTTGGAGCGGTCACTTGCTCTGACACAGTGACATCAGACATCAGCACCATTGTAAATAAACTCCTGGAACACAGCTGGATCCTGGTGGTGACTTTGAAACATGAATCCCAACCTGAAATTGTGCAAAGCTGACTTTCAGGTTGCACAAGATTTTGATTCTGATGGTCACCTCTACTGGATTCTGAGAAGTGGTCTCCAGGAGACTGATTACCTTGCATGTCCCAGGGAAACACTAGATCTTCTCAAAGCATGAAGGAAGGCAGTGGGTGGTCAGGAACCTCCTAGCTCAGGAACCCTCAAGACTGTCCTTACCCAAGGGTTTTAATTCTAGCTAAAGGGCCCCCAGCTTCCTAGGAGTGTGTGCGCACAAATGTGAAGGATACTGAGGGACCCTTTAGAAGACAGTGTTGATGCTGCTTTGAAGTTCCAGGTTGGGGAACATCCCAGGCTTAAGTCACTGAGGGCAGCTGAAGCGGGAATAGGACCTTGACCCCAAGGAGCCTGACTTGGGCCTTGTGGGCCTGTGAACAGACTGAACGGGAGGGGCAGGAACAACCCCCTGGCCCCGTGGTTCTACGGATCTCATGCCCACCTGCAGGGGTCCTGCTGAAACCCTCTGTGGTGTCCCATGATTTCACCTTTGAGAAGAATCCCAGGTGCTTCTGCTGAGGGGCTAATTGGATACAGAACCAGGGCAGGCACCTTGAAGAGGAGACGGAAGAATTTGTTCTCTCAGACGGGTCTGGTCAAAGTTATTGGCTAAAGCGCAAACCACATAGTATCACGATGTTTGTTTTCATTAATATTGGATTTCTTCCACTGGCAAGAATATCTGTCTCTATGACTAAGAAGAATCATTAGTTTCTAAAGCTGGATCAAGCCAGCCCCAAACCCAGCGGCCACCCAGCAGGAGATGGCTATCTTAGCCAGGGGTCTCCATCGAATCTCGTTTCATAGCAGGTGTGCGAAACCCCCATGCCCAGAAATAGACACTAGTGCAGGAGACCAAGGACCTTCCAAAGCCAGGTAAGGTCATCTTGGACAGCAGAACCTCCCCAGGCCTACCTGTCACCATCCAAGCCTGGTGTCTTCGCTGCAGTTCAGCAGACATATTTTTTGTAGTTCACCCTTTAGTCCCCGCAGGCCTAGAGTTGGGGCTTTGAGAGCTCATGGTTATCTTCATTTTCCTGCTGTTACTATCAAGCCAGGTGCCCTAATAATCCCTGGTAGGGAGTTCCTTGTTAAAGTCACGTGCTGGCCCTGAAATCCCAGACTCTGTTTTGTGGCATCGTTGGTAGAGTGTGCTTCACTCTGCTGCATTGGAGCTTCCCTGGGGTCTCCAGTCTCTTGGGACAGGAGGAAATCCCTGAGGAAGGAAACCACAGGTGAGAAATGCTGACTTTTCCATGAAAGTGGAAATAAATGAAAACAACCCATGGTCATTCACATCAACACTCAACTCTGTTTCTTGCTCCCAGAAGTTGTAATTCCAGGTTGACATACGTCTCAAAGGAAGAATGTTGCACAATTGTTAGTTTAGTGCTCCATGCTAGCATCGAACTCCACAGGACACAGCTTTGTCACAGTGTCCGTTGGCCACCTCTGGTCATGCACAGGTCATAGGTGCCTCCCTTAAAAGCTCAGATCCAAAGATAGGTGTAGGGCCTAGGGGCACTCCAATGGCAAGGATGAGATTGCCAGGTGCCTTCTCCTAGCTTGAGTTGACCTCTGGGTAGAGCCTTGTCCAGGAGGACATGGGGACAATGCAGTTTTTTCAGAAAACTGCTGGGATACCTGGTTTCTATGGACTCCAGGTNTAGCTTGAGTTGACCTCTGGGTAGAGCCTTGTCCAGGAGGACATGGGGACAATGCAGTTTTTTCAGAAAACTGCTGAGATACCTGATTTCTATGGATTCATCCAGAGTAAGTCCTCTAGGGTTTGCTCTGACCTTCAGAAATGTGTTCTTTTCTACTGGATTTTGTACCTAAATTAGTTCCTTGGAAGGAAGAGACTAGAATACCTTTTATCAAGCACTCAGTAAGTTCCAGGTCGGTGCTGGGCATCCAGAGCACATTTCCTCATTTAATCCTCACAGCCGTAAAGGTGGCTGTCATTGAAACGGAGGTGTAGCATTCTGTTCTTCCCTAAGGCCTCACACATTCACAGCCTACTTGACCTCAGGAACGCAAAGGCCATTCATTGGTGGGATCCCTCTGGCTTCTTCTAGAACGAGCCCCTAAAACCTGAGAGAGAGCAAAGAGGAAGCCATGGTGCCTTTTATGACCTCGTCTCGGAAGATACACATTGTGATTTTCTATTCATTTAGAAGCAAGTCTCTAAGACCAGCCCACACTCAGAGGGTGGGAAATGAGCCTCTATTTGTTTGAAGGTAGGAGTGTCAAATTTGTGGACATACTTTATTTTTATTTATTTTTAACCTTCACCTGAGGATATTTTTTTCCCCTATTGCTTTTCAGAGGGAGTGGAAGGTCAAGAGAGAAAGATAGAGAAGAGAGACATTGATTGGTTGCCTCCCGCACATGCCCCAACCAGGGCTGGGGATTGAACCTATAATCGAGGTACATGCCCCTGGCCGGAATCAAACTGGGGGACCCTTCAGTCTACCGACCGACATTCTAGCCATTGAGCCAAACCAGCCAGGGCTGTGGACATAGTTTAAAACCATCATAGTCACTTCTTCCCACTAGTTCCCAAGCACCTGAGCATGCAGGTAAACTGTCAGCCACATGCTTGGTCCTGGCTCCCAAGGCTGAGAGGTCTTTAAGAACAGGGACCGTGTCTTGGTCACTATTTTCACCTTAGAACCAAGCACAGGACCTGGCACATAGTAGGTCCTCCCTCAATAAATGTTTGAGACATAAAGTAATTAACAGATTGAAAGCCTGACACAGGTAGATTGTATTAACTATGTAATCATGAGTCTAATGGTGGTGTCTAGGCAACCCGGAGCCTATCCAGGTTTGTCTGCCAACTGACTGGGTGAGCTCATTCAAGTCTTTTTTAATAGAAGAGCTCTGGGTTTAGAAGGAGGATCTCTATCACCCCTCTGAGCTGTAACTGGCTCGGATAAAGGGAAATTATCATGAAAAGGCTTTGCAGCCTCTACAAACAATGCTACACAAAGAATCTCCCTGGCAGTGGAGCCATCACTTCCTGACCGAGGTGCCTCTTTTTTCTGCAGATCGCCCTGCTCCCCAACAGTGCCGCCGACCTGGGCAAGTACAACACTGGTGACAAGGTGCTGGCCTCAAACGCCTACCTTCCAGGACCTCCTGGCCTGCCTGGGGGCCAGGGCCCTCCTGGTGAGTGTGAACAAGGGCATGGAAGGGTGATAGTCCCCAGCCAAGGCCTTCCAAGAGCTCACATGTAGTGGGGGCTGGACAGCATTCTCCGGCTTCCATGGACGAGAGCAGAAGCAGGAATCCAGGGAGCACCCACACCTACGCGACATGAGGGCCTTGGGAAATTGGGTCCTCAAGCCTGAGAAACCCTCATAACCAACAGTAATTTGGGAGAAAAAGGTCATTGTCCTGGGCTTGGATAACATTCTTGGAGATCACTTTAAGCTACAGAGAAACAAAATGAAAACTATTTTTTAACATTAATATATACAAAAATAGAATGATGTAGTGAACTCCTGCGGGCTCATCACCCAGCTCTAACAACGCCCGGGCTAGCCTGGTTTTCACTATTTCCCACTCACATTTCCTCCTTCCCCTGTTGTTTGTGAACACATTTGCATTGATATTTATTTACATACATATTTTTCCTTTACAAGTCAACCCTATTGAGATACAATTTTATACAATAAAATTGTCAATTTAAATGACAACTTTTGATACATGCATTTATGCTATATCAAGCACTCACTAACCACCACCCTGTATCTATATATCTCTATATCTATATCATCTATATCTATATCAAGATATAGAACACTTCTATCATCCAAAAACACTCCCTTGTGCCCATTTGCAATCTACTCCCCCATCCCCAGCTCTAGGCAACCACTGACTTGCTATCTGTTGTGACACTTTGCTCTGCTCTAGAAACTAATAGCAATGAATTTCATAGTGTGCATTCCTTTGTCTGGCTTTTCTCATTCGCCACTGTTTTGGAGATTCACCCTTATTGCTTTGCAGAAAATCCCAAATGTCCTATCATTTCATCAGGATAAATGCAATGAGAACTTTAAAAAATAGTTACAAGACGTTATATTTTTAATTTATTGTGATTCCCTCCATAGATAGATAGATCAATAGATTTTTTTCACACCAGAAAAGGAAATGGTATGAATGTTAGCAAATGATTCTAAAACATGAAGTGTTTTATCCCGCCTTGTCATTGCTCAGCAGTGTGCTAGGTGTTGTGAATGACGTCCTGACATTCTCACTGGGAGGACAAGGCCCACAGTGTGAAAGCAAATGGGGTGAAACTGTGTGTGCACGCGCCTGTGTCAGTGCACGGAGCTTCCTGCTGGGGGCTTACGGAGGGGAGAGATCACTGTAGGCAGGTCTGGGCACTTGGGGTTGGAGCTGGACATGAAAGACTGGTAGGATCTGCCCAAGCAGGTGTTAGGTTGGAAGGTCGGCAAAAACAGGGACTCAAAATTCTTCCCAAGCTATTTATTGGTTTTCTTCTCGATTTAATCTGGTTTCCGTCAAACACAGGTGGCCTGGGTCTCAGTCTATCAGAGGACAAGGACCGGTTCCAGGACTTTGGTTTATCCTCTTGATTGTTCCCTTGGCCTGAAGTCCTCTGGGTCATGGTGGGGTTTTCTCCCTCAGATGCCTCAGAAAGGAAGCTTCTCACTGCTCTGGGTAGACCTGGACCTCTTCCTATGAATTGATTCCTGGCACAGTGCTCTCCACGCTTCTCCAACAGGATGCACTTACTCTGCTTCCCTGCAGGGAGCTCACCTCCAGGCCAGCCCACCTATCACTCCAACAAGGACAAACTAGGAAGAGGGGAGCCATCGGCTGTCTTTAATAAATGACTTGCTGGCTTTCCTTTCCAGTCTGCCATCTGGTCTCTAACATGGTTTGAGCTGCCCAGTGTCCTTGAGGGAGCAGAAGGTGATTGAGGACTAGCTTTAGCAATGGCCTTGCCCTTGCTTCCCCCTCTCATCCTGTTTCTTTCCCACTCCTCGCTTGCAGCATCCGTTTGTGATGTCCTTCACTGAGAAGTGTTAGAGCAGCTAGAGAAATAATAAGGTTTCTCTTACCCTTAACTAAAGGTCCAGTCCCCAGGCCTATGATTGATTGGGGTACCAACACAGGAAATTACATCAAGTTTGGATCCTTTGGCTTTGGGGGCGAGGGGGTGGCTGCTGCTCTCTGGCCATCTGCACACCTTCTAAAGGCATTTGACATATAGTGATCTCTGAAGTTCATTGATTATGTAAGTGAAGGTAAGATATTGTCTCTGGCCTGGCCTTGTGCTATCAGAGGTAAAGTATTTAGTTATAGGAGGGATCTGTCCCTCTTCCTGGGTAAGTCCTTTCAGGATACCTCTGGGACCAGCATTGAGAGTAGGGCTGTGAAACAGGTCTGAATGGATCGACTGCCTTTAACTTTGACTTAATTATTCAAGAAAAGCCTGTTTTTGTAGTGCTTTTATGTGTGAGGTACTGTGCTGAGTGATGTGTGAATGTCTATTAAATCTCATTTAATAGTCATGGCCACTCTGTAAGGTAGGTTTTCATTAGCCAGCTTTACAGATGAGAATCTAAGGGTGAAAGAGGTCACACAGCTTATTCAAGATCCAGACCTAGGTCTCCCCGATGCTGACCCCTGTACCCCTGACCACTCTCCAGGTGTGGTAACCGCCACCCTGCTATGACTGACGGGACACAGAGGAACTGACAGTTGTAAGAAATGTGAAAGAGGTAAAATGTAGAGGAACTGGCCACCGATGGGATAAGGGGGTTGTGGAAACAGGGAAATCTATAGGAAGATTCTCCAGATTCTGGCTTGAGGTGACTGGTGGTTCATGAAAAGAGAGGAAGAGAAGGAAGTCAATTTAGACTGTGTTAATTTAAAATGCCAGTGGGACCGATATCCCAGTGGAGGTGTCAGAAGACAAAGGGCAGAGTGCACAGAGAAATGGCTACGAGGGCTGGCAGACTTGCAAGCCAGCGCCCTGGTCTTCCTTGCAGGATGTGGAGCTAACGAGCTGTTCTTTGATTACAGGCTCACCAGGACCAAAGGGCAGCCCAGGCTTCCCCGGTATGCCAGGCCCTCCCGGGCAGCCCGGCCCACGGGGCTCAATGGGACCCATGGGACCATCTCCTGATTTGTCCCACATTAAGCAAGGCCGGAGGGGCCCTGTGGTCAGTATTTTCTGAGATCCACTTACTGTTGTTGAGGAAACCGTGTTCTTCTTCCCAGCTTTGTCCTTCTGTTAAACTAGATCTCTCTGTCTTGTAGGGCCCGCCAGGCGCACCAGGAAGAGATGGCTCTAAGGTAAGTCTAAGAAGTGGCCCTTAAAAGCCTAAGGTTTCTCAAGTTCAGTGAAACTCACACACTGCTGACTGTTCCCATTTTGCATGGTAAAACTGAGACACAGATATACTTCTTCCCCCCAAAGCTGGGATGAAAATCTAAAAAGCAATTTCCTTAAAATATGAAACAACCATAATAACAAAACAACCACCAAAACCAGTCTAGGAGAGATTCCTATGAATCTTTTATTTTTTTAATTTTATCTTTATGTTGAAAGTATTATAGATGTTCCCCTTTTTCCCCATTGACCCCTTCTGCCCAGCACCCGCACTTACCCCTGCCCCCCAGGCCTTCACCACACTATTGTCTGTGTCCATGGGTTATGCATATATGCATGTGAGTTCTTTGGTTAATCTCTTCCCACCCACGCATCCCCTGTGTTGTCAGAGTAGCACATGTTTTTCTCTTCAGCCTGAGTTCCTCTACAGGGCCATTCTGTGTGTGATGTGTTTAAGCCAACAGCAGGAGGGGTTCCATTCTGTGCAAGTGGGGGGGTTTCACTTTGAGAGCTGCCTGCTACTTGCCTCATAAAGTCAGCAGGAGTTACTTTAGAAGCTCCTAAATTATTCCACACACTGCCTGGAAATACGAGCATTCCTCTTGTCAGATCTGGTTTGAAAATATATGACCTCTGGGGAAAGCTGAGTGAGAGACACTTGCCCCAAGCAGTTCTGTTCTAATAAGTGGTCCCATGAGCCCAGCTTCAGCTTACATTTGTTTCTGATGGAAAATATTTATTGTTTGGGGCAGGGAGATGGTCACAGTGCATTTCTAAATAAAGATTGTAATGGTGGCATCCACATGGTCCAGGAAGCTAACCCAGACCTTTCTGCTTTTAGGGGGAGAGAGGAGCACCTGGACCCAGAGGGTCTCCGGTAAGTAGCACCATCTGCCTCGCTTCCCCATTGGGAATGTTCTCCAGAATGCAGCCGTGAGAAGCCTGTGAGTTAGTTTTATTAGCAAAAGCCGGCTTCTTCCAGCTGTCACTCAGGCTACCCGAACAGAACGAGGTAGTTAGGAGGAAAATCACAGAGGCCTTCAGCAACTGCTTGGAATTTGTTTTGAAAGTTTGTTTTCTATTGCTTAATCTTTATTTGGAATGTCTTAAGATTCAAAACTTCAGTATGCCATGAGTCTATTTTCAGGTATGTCATAAAACATCTGAAGAAACTAGGAAAGAAATCTATGGGGCTAAGTCCTAACGCTGAATACTTAACAATTTAGGCACCGCTACAGCCCTACCAGGTCAGATGACCATCCCCTCTAGAAAGCAGAGGCATGCAGGGCGGTTGGGACCACTGAGAAGAAATTAGCTGGATATATGCATGGTGTCTGGGAGAATAAAAATGGAAATAAGTAGTATCCAAAAGCACAGAAAATTTAAGCAACTCCATTGCTTTTGAAGAGGCCAGTTTCATTTTTTGAAGAAAGGCAAAGAGCTTTAGCATTAGAGCTCTTCCACTGAGTAGCTCTCTGATCATGGTCATGTCACTTAGCATCCCTGGGCATCCATTCCCTCACCTGTGCAATGCCAAGTGGAATCTGACCTGTTATGCTTCAGTGAGCGTCCAATGATGTCAAAATGCGATGCATCACTAAGTATTTGCAGGTGTGAGCTGCTGTTTCTAGCACAGCAGGAGAGGTTCTCTCAACTTCGTTTAGGTTGCAGTTACAGTCAAGCATCCTTATAAACACTCCAATAATTTTGTTATAAAAGATAACATTTTTGAGCATTTACTATGCTCTCAGCCCTTTACATGTATTAACTCATTTATATACACACTTGGAAACCTATGAAACCCAATGAAATGGAGACCATTATCCCCTTTTTCTGGACGGGGAGATGGAAACCCAAAGAAATTAAGTAACTTCCCAAGACAAGCTGATAAATGGAAGAGCTGAGATTCAAACCCAACAGAGCCCCATCTTCTTAACCCCTATTCTCCGCCTCCATGGTATCATCGAGATTTCTTTGGAAAGTCACCAGGGAAGGCTACTCTCCTTACATTCTGCCAGATTTGATAAAACCTAGAATTGGGAGGGAAGAGAGGTGAATATGTCATACAGAAGATGAGGGAATCAGAAGGCAATCTGAAGAATCCCTCAGGCTGTGATAATAGTCCCTATGTTTTCTCCATTTGGGACATGGAAATCATTGACTAAGTAGTTGCCAGCATGCAGGAAATAGCAAATTAGGGAGCCATGGACATCCTCACTCTGCAAGGGGCTGAGTGTGCGGTTCTGGCTCTGATTCCTCTCTTGCACAGGGACCGCCTGGTTCTTTTGATTTCCTGCTGCTGATCCTGGCTGACATCCGCAATGACATCGCTGAGCTGCAGGAAAAGGTGTTCCGGCACCAGCCTCACACTTCAGCAGAAGGCCTCCCTTTGCCTCAGGAATTTCCCAGCTACCCAGAAGCCATGGACTTGGGCTCTGGAGATGACTACCCGAAGGGAACCGAGACAGGAGACTTGGAGACCCCCAGGGACTTTTATCCTTAGCACGCACCAATGTCTTCATGCTGAAGGAAGAGAAAAGAAGAGTTCTCATACCTGCAGTTAAGTCATCTAAAGAGAGGACAAGAAATCGAAACCCACCACTGGAGACCTAGACAAGACACATTTCTGTTTTCTTTACTCTTTTCCTGCCTTCTACCTACTTCTTTTCTTCCAAATACTATTTTGTGAGGCCCCTGCTAGACATGCTAGAGACATGAAGGAGACAGACGATTGATTTACAGGACCCTCTGAGAGCAATTGACATTGGAACTGCACTTTTATTTATTTTTTAGGAACTTCTGGTTTCTGATTTAAGTACTCATAGTACCATAAATTTGACAGAATAAAAGAGAAAGGTGGCAAGGTGAGCTTGAAGAAATGTAAGGCTACTTATTTAAAAAATTAGACATGTGTCCAAAAGAGACTATGACACCTCAGTGTCAAAATAAGGCTCTTCAATGAAAAGGAGGAGACAACAGTGTATATTTACTTTGGTGGATAATTCTTTGTCCTTGTTGATCTAACAGATTTTCAGTATTCCAGCCTCTTGCCCAACCTCATTTCCCAGTTGTAATTACAGATCGGAGAGAGTTAAGGAAGAGGGGAGATTAGGGAAGATGGAGAAAATTAGTCATAATATTTACCGTCATGTAGGTGGCCACATTCTAAATTCAAATAGGACTATCCAGTGTTCATGCCATGCTTGTCTATAGCACCTTCAGGAAAGGAAGTTACTGTAGGTGTGGGACTAACTCCTCTTTTCCAAAAAGAGAAGTGAATAAAGGTCCTGATTCACACTAGGAAAATGGGCTCCTGGCTTGCCAGGACATTTTAAGGCTGTTTGATCGAATGAGTGGGCCTCCTCAGTAAATCAGAATATTTGTTGAACAAGGGTGGCAGACCCTTAGAGAGAGGTACAGAAATTCCCAGGCTCTGAGGGGGCGGCCAGAGCTGCCATGAGGCTATGATTCAGGTTGGATCCATGCCCAGTGGGGCTCAGGGCTAGAAGGAGGTGGCTGGCTCGGGTTGTCAGCCACGGGAAGGGGAACCTCATGCAGGGACCCCACTAATCATCAGAGGCAAGTCAATTTGCTCCCTTTGGGAATTAGAAGTCCTCGTCTGGGGCCAGCCAAGCTTGTCAACAAAGAGAATTATATGCTATTGAAAGTTCTCGTAGATGTGGAGGGGAAATAAAACAATAGTTTTCCTTGTTTGGCAAGAATTTCCTTCCCACTAGTCCCATTTTTCCTTAATTGTCCATAATTTAGTTCAAGTTCCAGTTCTTGCAGGCCTTCTCGTTGATTTCCCATTCCCAGCAAATGTGAGGTTGGGAAGGGGGTATTTTCCCAAACCTCTCGTTCAGTCCCTGTTTGCTTATGCATCTCTGGGTCCTAGAGGGAAGCAGATTCTGGAAAAGGCTCTCTCTGGCAGGAGCGTCTCCTCCTTGGTAGTATCGTTGGGGAACCTCTTGGCTTTGATGGGCAGCTTGCAGGTTCCTTGAAGTTCACATTCTCATTTGCCTCACGGAGATGGCTTTTCATCCACCTGTTCAGGAGCCCTTCACCGTGACATTGAACCTCACCAGTTATCCTGCCGCAACTCATGTTAGCTCATCTTGGGGTTTCTACTTCCCATCCTGTGGGTTCCCCCTGAATTTCTGGGAGATTCGTGCTTCGTTTTCTCTTCCTATCTAACACTCCTCCTGGGAAACTTGTTTCAAGAGAACCGCTGTTGGTGTTTGCTTGCCACTTTTCCATCTTTCTTCAGAATGATCGGAAGGGCTTCTGTCTGCGAATCTCAAGTGACAACAGCCTTCCTTCCCATCACATGAGCAACGCGGGGACTCCAGTCAGCCAGTTGCCGAGTTTTTCACAAACATGTCCCTCCTTCCTTGTGCAAAATCCCAGGGACTGCTCATCAAAATGTTACAGCTGAAAGCAAGCACGTTCCCAGCGCTCCTCTCCTAGCACCTTCCCGTCCCTGTGCAGCCTCCCAAGGCACGGGGTCACGAAGCAACGAACTGAGCAGCTGCTGCTTCCCATCGGGAATATATTGAACATTCACCTGCTTGTGGAGCACAGTATTTAAAGGGTGTGGATGGATGAATGCTAAAGAAGATTATGCACAGGCTCTATGAGAAATGATTAGGTCTGTCTTTGATTTTTTTTTTAATAAGGGAATTTCATTACCTTTTTCTTAACAGTGAACTGTGTTTAGAACTGTAATCTTTATTGTTAAGTGCTTATAAAATGCAAGCAAACTGCATGTTGGACATGCAGAAGCCATGATAAATGTATTAAAGAATGAACTGATGTGGTAATATCTGGGATTCATGAAACTATTCTAGATAATATTCTCCAGCAAAACACACAATAACCTTTGCTTTATCATCTCAGTCTGCTGGATTGAATCAATTTATAAAATAATGTTTCATCCTAAAATCTTCAAAAGTTGGACTAGGACCACAGGACTCAATATGTATTCCGGATGCCCAGATTGTGTTTTTCAAAGATAAGACACAATAAGGCACTGTTACTTCTAATGTATCTTTCAGTTATGGATAGAAAACCAAAGCTTTGCTGTGTAAACAGGCCATCTGCTTGAAACCAAATGGAAAAGCCATTTGGGGGGTAAAACGTGCTACAGTTTTGCTAAGCCACTTCATGGTTCAAGGGGGGAAAGGCCTTTGTGTACCTCTTCAACGCTCTAGCAAAAATGTTCAGTTGTTTGCACCCTGATAACTACACTTGTGAATAGGACTTAATCGATTGCTTCTGTTTCCGGAAAGCAATGGGAATAAAAACCTGCTATTGAAAGTAGTGCAGGGAAGGCATGCATTTTAGTTTGGGAATGTCCCCCTGCCTTACAAGTTCCAGAAGAGGAAATTCTTAGCTATACTGTGCCAAGGGATGTGGAGTCACAGAGGTAATGCTGTCTTCTCTCTTTGTCAATTCCAACACCTGCCACAAAATGAACTGACCAACTGAAGTCATTTCTGCAGTATAAGCTCAGACAGGTGTGTCCACAGTTAAACAGGTAAATAATTAATGCACACTGCACGGGGGAGGAGTATCACCCCACCACACACTCGGGAAGGGCACCCTGGTTCTGGTTATGCTCCCTTTCCAGGGTTTATAACTACTTTGGCCTGTGAGCCCTGTTTCCAGACATGCAGGAGAAGATGATCTCTGTGCCAGACATCTCCTTGAGGTGACAGCAAATCCCTCATCCTACTTTGGGTGTCACTGTCCCTCCCCCTCTTCCCCCACTCCAGCCTGTCTCAGAGACAGCAGCCTCGTTGTGCAAACTTAACATCTGTCAGATAACGTTCCTGAAAAGACATGTATTTGCAGGAATCCGGGCCAAACAACTAGTAGAATAGAGCCATCTAAATTATTAATGATGAATTCAGGGAAATAGATGGATTTTTTCCTGGCACTGTCAGCATGTATGTTTCACAACAAATCAAAAAATGATTTTCCATTTGAGAGAAAAAAAAGACCGTTTCATAATTGTTAAAAATCTTGGACTCCGTGTGCTCCTTCAACAAATACTAGTGCTTTAGGGAAACCATAGGAAAACAACCTTTTCCACACCCCCCAGGGACCTCGGTGTTCTTTATTATATCCCCAAAGCGACTGCCCTGGGGGTGTCACACGTGTCATGACTCTCTCCACTGCCCAGTGACTAGTCATATTCTTCAGTGGCTATTTTGTTCATTATTTATAACAGGTCCATATAACAGTTGAGCTAGTGTTAAAATAGTTATGGATGTGATACTATGAAGTGCTTCTGATAAGATTGTATATGCTTAATAACAAAGTTATTTTTCTTATGTGGTGGTACTGTTTTGTCCTGATACCCAGTGCTGTGCAATGCATTGTCTTTTTTACAAGATGAATACAAGGGGGTGGGGGGAGAGAGAGAGTCCTCTTCAGAGCCGGAACCTGCGTCTGGGTAGGCCACCTCCTGGGGTGTCGGTGCGTCCCAACATTTGAGTCTGAGCCCGGGTCTGAAGGCCTGGGTTCCACTGAATTCTGAGTCTCAGAGGCCCATATACCTGAGCTGGGGGCGGGGGAGATCCTTGGGGATCCTCTGGGACCCTCAGGGTGGGGTCTTCAAAGCAGGAACCTTCAGGGGGTCATTGGAGGTGCCTAAGGCGCTCGTATGTGGAGGGCCTGTGAGGGTTCCACCTCTCCCTACACCCACTGTACCCCGGCAACTCAATTTTTAGTTGGTTTTAGATTAGGATTCCTCATAAGGTTTCCTTTGGAGGTGGGGGAAACTGATTACCTAAAAAAATGGCTAAAATAAATAGTTTTGGGGAGGAAGCGCCATGAGTTGGTAGCTGAAGTCCCCTATATGAGGATAAGGGGAAGGGACTTTTCATCAGCTGGGCCATACAGGAGGCAGTTCTATAATAAAAAGGGAGGTGACCTGTAGGGGATTTTTTGCTCTAGCAGGTGCCTTTAGCTTCCTGAAGTTCACCTCTTTATATATCTCCCTTTCCTTTAGCGTATTAAATGCTCGTTGAAAGCTGCGCGCTGCGCTGTGCACCACAGACACAGTGGGGAGGAAAAGCCATAATCCCCATCCTCCTGGGGATTTTTGGCAAAATAGACAAGGATCCTTCCAGACAAAATAAATTAATCACATAAACATGCAATTACAAACTGGTAAGTGCTATGAAGAGCTGTAAGTGCTGCAAGAGCCAATAGCAGCTCCTGCCAGTAGGACCCGCCCTTTGCTCCCCAGCCCCACAGGAGGCACCCAACAGCGTCACACCATAGACACACGGGGACCTCGGCCCTCGCAGACAAGAGCTTCCTGAGTCCTCGGGGTGAAAGAGCAGTCAGTGGAAATCTGGGAGAACCCCTCATATGTAATGTTTCCAGTTCATTGAAAAGGCAGCTTAATGAGCCCAAAGCTGGGTGCGACCACCTCCCTGCGTCTGGACACCCCATTTATGCTGTTGCCTGGTAACCTCCTGCTCTGCGGTGGGTCCCCAGCAGAATCGGAGCCCAATTTCTTCCGACTTGGGAGACCACAGTTTGAAAAAGCTTCTGTGCTTTAGAAACACCCCAGCTCCTGCAGAAAATCTGCCCTTGGAGATTTTCACCCCCAGCTCCAGTCCAGATACCAGGTCCCAGGGTGGCCAAGTGGAAACCTGCATTCAGCCCTGGGGGAGGGGGGAGGGGGGCACAAGGGATCCTTAAGGGTTACGTGGGGGCAACTGCATTTGAATCGCAAGCTTCTGGGGACTGGCAGAGACCTGAGGAAGAGGGGGTGTTTGTTTCCCCGGGCTGCCTTACAAAGCACCACAACAGAAACGTATTTTCTTTCAGTCCTGCATGCTCCAAGTCCAAGAGGGAGCGGCAGTGTCTGTACCTCCTGGAGGCGCCGAGGGGGAAGCCACCCTGCGCCCCTCTCCAGTTCCTGGTGGTTGCCAGCTGTCCCGGTGTTACTTGCCTCTTGTGTCACATGTTGCTCCTCCTTCGTGTCACTTTGTCTCTATGTCTTCACTGGTGTTCTTGCTGCGGGTTCCATGCCTCTGTTTTCCTACTGGCCCGGCCAACTTGGCTCAGTGGTTGAGCATCGACCTAGGATCCAAGAGGAAACGGTTCTGTTTCCAGTCAGGGCACATGCCCAGGCTGTGGGCTCGATCCCTGGTGGGGAGGCGGTGCGGGAGGCAGCCGATCAATGACTCTCTCTCATCATTGACGTTTCTATCTCTCCCTCTCTCTCCCTCCCCCTCTCCTTTCCTTTCTCTGAAATCAATCAAACATATTTAAAAAAAAAATAACTGGATGAGGGCTCACCCTAACCCAGTATGACCTCATCTCAATTTAACCCAGTCTATCTGCAGAGGTCCTATTTCCAAATAAGGTCACACCTCAGGTTCCAGGTAGCCTTGAATTGGGGAGAGTGGGGACACTGCAACCCAGTTCAAGAAGGAAATTTTCTCTCTATCCGTTGGCTCTTATAATCCTGCTTATTTCCTTTCATAGACTTTTACCAATCTGAAATTTTTACTTGCCCACTTCATTCAATAAAAACGTATTGAGGGCCAAGGGTGTAAAGTAGTGTCAGCACAAAGCCCCTGCTGGCCTGGAATACACATTCCGGCCCAGGAAGACAAGTGTATGTGCTAGTCGCGTTTCTCCAGAGAACCTGAACCGGTAGGATGGGTGTCTACCTACAGGGTGGGGCAAAGTAGGTTTACCGTTGCCCATATGGAAAATAATACAATAATTAACGAATAATACAAGAGTAAACTGTTTCGTGTACTCACAACTGTAAGCATATATATGTATATAGTGTATGTGGGTGGACAGATAGATACAGATGCGTATTTATTTATACAGAGAGGTTTATTTTAAGGACTTGGTTCACTTGACTGTAGAGGCTGCTTCCAGAGATGGGAGGGCAGAAGTGAAGCCCACACAACTCATCGACTCAGTTGAACTTGATTCGCCTCCTGCTCCCGCAGAGCGTGGTGTCTTCCCCAGCATCCCCAGGCGATTGAGGGACTCAATTATCACCCATTTCTGGCCAGGTGACAACTTATGTTTTGAATTCTCACTTCTCCGGTCCGTTTTCTGTGGCTCTGTATACTCTTCCGCCTCTAACATCATTGGCGGCCACACCGGGCCTGGGAGCTGTGGGGAAATGACTAATCCAGAAGGAAAGTCCTATCTATGAAGTCATGTTTTGCTTTATAAGTCGTTTTGATGGTATATGAGGACGGAAGAGTTTCCAAGGTCAGGTTCTGTTGTTCTTGGTTTTCCTCACTGTGGTCCATGGGTGTCCTTGGCCCTCTGCGCCGTGCCCGTCTCCCTCGCAGAAACCCAGTCATGTGCTGGATCTGCCCTGAGTCAGCTCGGGGACTGCTGGCAGCCTCGTCACCCCAGCATCCCGCAGATAATACACAGCATCTCGCTGGGCTGCCATCCTGCCCTGTAACTGAAAGACCATGTGATGTGCAATACTTTCCCCCTGGACCCACAGGGTGACTGATTTACGATTTAGTTAAAGTCTCAGCCAAAACCAGGGGAACATAGAGATGACTGCAGAGAGCCGTAAGCCAGTCACTGGCCTTCTGAAAAAGTCTGGAAAAGAGAGGTGCCACAGACTGATTTAGGTTCAGATCATTTAGAAAGGAAATACTAGCTGGAAAACATTTCAAAAAGACATCCCTTCAAAACAGGCTTCCCAGGACAGCAGCCAAGCAGTTTTGTTTCCAGGCTTATTCTTTGGCACTGCTGGCAGCTGAGGTCCAGTGCCACTCGCCAGTTTGGCACGCTGGATGTATAAATATTCACACGAGGTGGGATGAAAGCCTCTGGGTTCATATGATTTGGGTTGGGTGTTCCATACAAGGGGCGGGGGACAGACTTCCCCAGCCACACACGCATCCTGCCAAGGTTCCCACCAGGCCGTAGAGGGGTACTTTCTCTTAGCGAGTCTTTGTTGAGTCATCAGCACCCGCTATGTGGCACTTGGTCTTCCTCTGGCTGGTTCCCTAATTACCAGACTTGAAGTTCCACTTGGTGGCCTGTCCGTGGTCAGATGGGACTAGAGGGCTGCAGCCACACTGTCCCCCTAAACCCATTGTGCAGAGAGGTACGTGGGCAGCTCACAGGCATGACTTCCTCGGGCAAATCAGTTTCCTTTTTACCTTTTTCTTATTCCAAAGTCCCCAGTGAGACCAAGGAATCTGGTGACTGTTCTCAGGGGAGAGTTGCCCCCCCACTCAGATGTATTGGGGGGTCCCATCCCATCTGCACAGAAGGGACCTCAGAGAAGTGAAGGGTCATCCTCTGAGAAAATGGGGAATCTGCCACTGACAACCGAAAATACCAGCCTGCAGTTCTCACCACTAACCTCCCTGCTTAGGGACCATTCGCTCCGCTACAGCTTTTGATTGTGAATACTGGTTTATCCATTAAACAGCAGGCGCGTGGAGAAGCCAGTCACCTGACTCCATGCTAAGACCCAGCAGAAAGCAATTTTGAGAGAATTAGTGAGATAAAGTGAGGAGAAAGGAACAGATCTAACCTGAGAGCTACACCCAGGCATTGCTAGTTCCCAGGAAGGAGGGTGAGTTATCAAAGAAGCCAAGACAACCCATGAACTTTGTTATCTCAAATGCACTTTATCTTCCAATTCAATGAATGCTCTCTCCACTGACCATTTTTTTAAATTTGGGGGTTTCTGGGTCACTTCCATTACTAGCTGGATGATGCCCATGTCATACTACGGGAACATGAAGGAAGGATTCAGCCTCCCTTGAAACAATTTGGGTCACTCTGTGTCCAGGTAGGAGCTGTGCCAGGGGCTTCTCCATCTCCCACTCCTTGCTGGCTTCAAAGACGGGGTCCTTGCTTTCTCCCAAATGGAATCTGGGTGCTGTGTTGGTAGGCAGTTGTGCCAGTCTGTCTCCTACCCTCGCTCAAAAACTTCTTGAGGACAGGAATGTTAACCACCTTCGTAGCTTCTGGGGGACCTAGGACAATACTTGGTGCACAATAAGAGGTCACAAAATGTTTTCAGGAAGCAACCGATTGCTAAGAACACAGCCACTAATGGCACCCAATTACTTCTATTCAGTTATTCGAGTATGTACTGACCGCCCTAATGTGACATACACTGTGCTGAGCACTGGTGATAGAGAGTAGATGTCAAGAGCAGCCCCAGTCCCTGTGTGTGGGGGGTGATGGTCTAGTGAATGGAGTCACAGAGCTGTGTCAGTACATACTGAAGCCGCAACACCTTTTTAATTTGTCTCTGTACAGAATTTCCTCGAGAATCTTTATTTTAACACTCAAAACTGGA